TTTTCCATTATCCTTATATTGCCCCAATATATCACGAATTCAGAGTCACCGCATTAAGCCCTATTTGCAACGCCACGAAGCCCTACACTCCAACGTGTTACCCCAATGCTCCAAACAGACCAATATAGATGAGATCTATAGACTTCAGGCCCAAGGTGGGTGGGGGGCTAGCAGAGTATTAGGGGGCGAGGATTGTAAGATTGCATCTGGCCGAAAGTTTTTGAACTCCTAAAACCCTAAACCCTAACTCTTACTGACACTGTAAACTACTCGCTGCCTAAGCCTAAGTGCCCATGCAGATATCAACTCATTCTGACACTAAGCTAAATAAATGAGCTGAAGTCTCAACTGCTGGTATCCCCCTTAATGACCCCTACAATAGCCCCTTATATGATCCCAAATATGCCCCCATTTCTCAGGAGTTGAGAGCACCCAAATAATCCTCCCCCGTATATCAACCCCCACACCCCCCCTAATATTAAATCTGCCTAATATGGCATAATATACTACAGAATGGGAGTACCTAATATTAGGGGTGGGGGGGGGTTAAAATTAGGGGGAGAGGATTACCTAGACCTAAAATCCACTAGTTTCAGGGGTCTTCAGCAGGCAGTTGCTCCAGCAAAAACGCTGCACATGAGATCGCTGGCTTTGAGTGGGAGATGATTGAATGTGACGGTTAGCAAACTTTGAAATTACTTCACCTGCCTCCAGCATGGAGTCGTTGTTGTCCGTCCTTTCCATCCTTAACTGGAAGGGCTTGCTGCACTTCATCAACAAGGTTTTGGATGCTTCCATGCCATGTGACTAGAGACCACAGGCCCACACTACAGCACTCTCTCCGCCCTCTTTCCTTGGCAGCATCACCGATAAATGTCCGCTTGACTCGCATGTGGCAGGCGCAAAAGGGGCAAGGACATATCACGGAATGCTATTATAGGAGTTATAAAGGGGGATCCTTGGAGTTAAGACTATATCCCCTATAATCCCTCATTATAATACAGTAGCTTCCACTTTCTTTTCCATTATCCCAACCCTACACCCTAAACCCTATCTTAATGACTCAGATGTATCCCGCTTGCCACCTTGAGGTCATGCTTGCTCAAAAGAATGGGAGCGATGCTAGAAGTATCACTTAGGATGTCGGGCTGGGCTGCCACTAATTCACCAGGGATTTACGGTCTGCGGAAAATTGGATCTGCAGGCTCACCAACAACCAAGTTCGTGCACCCACCGAAACCTGTAATCTCCCTAGACCTATAATGGTTTAGGGTTTAAGGTTTAGGGGTTTAGGGTTTTCTATGGACTCCTTAAAGTTTCACAGTTTCACCCTAGTAAAAAATAAGAAGTAATTCCTAAGGAGACTACAGAAGCAATCTTGCCTAAGCATTGCAAAGCATCCATCCTTTTACACAACCCTCCAGCTAGAACACCTCACCTCGAAGCTAACAAGAAGCCGAACCACATTGCTACCCAGAATACTTGCAAGAGGTCCATGCAAGGATCCCGCCTAGCAATTCTATGTTCTTAGCATGTGAGTACCCCCTTTAACCCATGTAATTACCCTTAACCCTAAACCCTTCTTTCCTAGGTCCTGTGCAGTGATCTACTACCTGCCTAGCCCACCACTGCTTAGTTTCCCATAGCCACGCGGTTTAGGGTCTAGGGCTTTAAGCAGAATCTACAAGCCCCAACTCACTCAAAAGCACCATTTGAGCTATAGTCTAAACTCCTAGTATTCCCCTTAATAACGCCTGTAATACTCCCCTATATAATCCCTCATGTAACCTCCTTTAAGGAGTTTAGACTACAGCTCACTTGACTGCACCTTCAAAACTTCCAATCACCCAAGCCCAGTCCCAACCTTGCTTCGACCAAGCATCTCCTCAGTGTTCATGGATAATATGTCGTCCATGCTGCCCGCCTCCAAAATGCAGATTGGGATAGGGTTTAGGGTTTTGGTTTTCGGGCTCTTCAAAGATCAGTCTTCCATTAAACCCTGGAAGTCTTTCTGACATCACTGTTCCCAGAATGAGCCAACTACAGCAAGCTACCCTAGAACCGTCGTAGCGAGTTCGGACGAAGACAGAACTTCAAAGAAACTTTACCCTTAACAGGTTTACATTACATGTTCACATGGCCTCCACCCCAAAATTTTCTGGCGGTCGGCATGGAGTGGAGAAACAGGTCTTCTAGCAGTGCCCTGAGAATCCCCAATAATGTGACAACTTTCATTTTCTTCGTCATTGCTAGCCACCAGCAAGTAAGCACCAAACGATAAAATGCTTGCCCTTGAGGACCATCGGAGGAAAGGAGTTTCCAGGAGCTTAGACAAATGGTATATCAGGTCTAATAAATGTAGGGCTAGCATGGGAGACCCCCCGTCCTGTAGTACTTGCCTTAGACATTCTGCGTGCCTGATGAAGGTGAGTCAGGTCCCGTCCCGGATCCAGGATGTTCGGAGGAGCCATTGACTTCAGAACGAGCCGGATCCTTGCAATTTTAGACGAACTGCTGCCGAAAAGGGAACTGCCAAGAAAGTATAAGCTGTCGTATCATATCAGGGCTTACCTAGACCCTCCAATGTAATACCTTTCTGGTAGTCCTAATAAGAGTCCTAACCAAAAAACCATACCAAACCCAAAAAGGAACTACATTGGAGGGTCTAGGTAGGGTTCAGGGAAAGGAGGGATGGACCCAACAAGTGCCTGCAATCCCTAAACCCTAAACCCTAAGCCCTAAGCCCTAAACCCTAAACCCTATCCCAACATTCCATTCCCTCCTTCCTTATCAACCACCTGCACGCAAAGGAATTCAACACTTGCACGGCCGAAGCAGAAAGCATTGAAATCCCCGAAAACGGTCCCGTTCGCAATGCAGGTTTAGGAGTTACCAGTGAGCAGGGTTCAACCCAACCTAAAAAAATTGTTCAGGACAAAACACTTCGAGATGAAAATACCTGGTCCAAGGAGGGGCTTAGGGTTTAAGCTGGGGACACACCGACCTCCCTCCAGGCAAACACCTGCACACCACCGATAATAGATTTTCCCATTGTTGTATATTAGAAAAGGAGGGTCTCCCACAAGTGGGGGTACCGTTTTGGGGGTCCATACGCTGAGGTTTATATGATTTTGGAGGGTTGAGGGTTTAGGGATTTAGGGCCGCTAAACTTAAACCCCCAAAAGTCAACGGTTATCGAACGATTTCAAGATTTGACTGTTGGCGGCTTGGGTGTTTTCACTGGGTTGTCCAATGATTTCGCGCCATTCATCCAAGCATTTGTAAAACAACTCCTTAGCAGGTATATCGCCAAATAATAATGTTATCTATAAATATAACTCTTGGGGATATAGGGTATGAGTGCTTTCCCACCTAATTGGAGTGGCTGTTGGTGCTTTTCGTTGCTTTGCCGCTGTTGCGTGGGAATCGCAGCGAAGGACAGGAAACTTCAAAACTTCATCAAGCTCCTGGATCCCCACGAAATACTTACTGCATATATCAGAAAACTGAAGACGGCACGGTGATCAAACGCATCGCCTTTTCTCTGGTCTGGGGTCCCGCTCGGGAAGCTGAACACTGATGGCTTGTGTTGAAAAAAGGGCAGAGATGGGTAAGTACGTGAGGGGCACCAAATCTGTACATAGATAACGCATAACGCATGAGTCTGGCAAAAACACCGGTACGCAGGAACAGATTTTGATGCATTTGTGCGGCTAACTGGGTGTTGCATCTTTTTTGGGATCTCTGCCGGCTCCACGATATGAAAAGTGGTAGTCACCAAGGATAAAACCATATGACCTATAGTCTAAACTGCTGGTAGTCCCCTTAATAATCCCTATCATGCTCCCCTGTATAATCCTCTATATAACCCCCCTTAAGGAGTTTAGACTATAGCTCATATTTGAAAGTGCTACTGCTATGACATGCCCAGTCTCTCATTGATCTGCGCATCTAAGACGTCAAATGCATCTCTGGATAGGTTGAAAAGCTCCTCCTGCTGGTTCAAGGATCGAAGCACGTTGTACTTGATGAATCCTTTGCTGTAAGGTCAAGGCCGGTGGCATCCCACTATGGGCTATTAGACCCCTTAGGGTTTAGGGTTTAGGGTTTAGGGTTCAAGGCTGGTGGCATCCCACTATGGGCTATTAGACCTTAAGGGTACCTTAATCTACCCTTAATAGGGTCCTAATAGGGAATTTTAGGGTCTAATAGCCCATAGTGGCATCTAGCTCCTTATAATCAGTTGGGACAGGAATCAAAGTTGTCTCTTTGGCAAATTGGGCTTTAGTACTATGCAAACTAATACAGCATACATTCAACTGTGACCTAGGCATAGGGTGAAGGATTTTGTTCGAGGAGGTCGGCTGGAAGCTGATCAGGCTGCCGGGGAATAGACCTTAAAACCCTGTCCGAAAAATAATCCCATCATTACATTGGGGAACCTAGGGGATTCTATAGAGATGAGGTTCTGTTTTTTGGATCCTTTAGGGGGGTCTGCGAAAGGGTTTAGGGTTTAGAGACACAATAAGGCGAACCTCGCCACGCCACTGCAGGTGGAGGTTCATTGGTCATCATAGGTGGGTGCATATTCAGGCTAGGATACAAGAACTATAAGCGCAAATCTGCCACTACTTATTCTGAACCTCCAAGGAAGGCTTTCTAGCCGGAGGTCCAGTGTCGCCGGGGAATCAATCCATCCAGGGGCTTGAGTGTGATGTGTCTATCATGACTATTCTCATCTTATGGGCGAGGTATTGGCTCTGATGCTGTTCTTAACCTTGCTGTCAAAATGGGGTTATATGGGGCTAGAGGGATATTATCCCCCAATGATGGAGAATCAAATGGAAAAGAATATGGAAAACGAAATGGAAACTGGGACAATAAGAAGGGTAGCACCTTCACAACCCTACACCCTAAACCCTGAACTGTCATTGCTATTGGCATCACACTTATGCTAAGTTTGCCCAAAAGCCGCCAAGAGTCTTGGGGCTGTTTTTGACTCATGCACCCATCGGGTCAGCGGAGTGATAAACTCGGAAGCCTGTGGGTCTGCACTTGCGACAGCACATCATGGTACCAGCTACAGGATCTTGAGCTAAACTAAAGTTAAGTTTAACTTAAGTACATCTTAAAATAGTATTAACTATGTAGCATATAGTATAATATAGTAGAATTTAGTATAATATAGTAAGACCACTTCTGATCTCCACACATTGTTAGAGGGGCTCTGTTTTTCGGGTCCCTGGCATGCGGGATGGCGCATCTTCGGCATCTGCATACGCAGCTTTGAAATGCAAATGAGCCATAGCTCCGAATTGATTTCTACCCCTATATACCCTTAAAGGGGGCTTAAGGTCCATGCGTAGGGGGTTCAATGATATAGACCCCAATAAAATATCACCTCCATTGCAGGAAGCCCCTACCTATCCCCCTAAACGCTAAATACTAGACCCTAAACCAAAAAACCGTAAACCTAAACTAAAGCAATCATTGAAGCTGCCCAACCTCAATCTCTCCCTCTCCGTGCACATCGATCATCTCGAACAGCTGCTGTAGATCTGACTCATCGATATCCATGACCTCACTTTCCAGACCCAGGTTTTTAGGGTGAAGGTTTCAATTTTAGACCGCAGCACGATCGACAACTCAATAGACCCAGCGTGTAGGCTCTGGGATTTAGGACTCCTAGGACAAGGAACCTCCCTAGAATCTCCTAAGTTCCCCAATGTAATACTAATGGGATCTTTTTTCGGGGGGTTGTTTAGGGGGTCTGGGTCTAGGTTGAATGCAAAGCGTTGCAGAGGGGTATAGAGAGACCCCAAGATAGGAAAGTCAGAAGGACATATACGGAGGACTGATCCGCGTCCATGACCTGGCACCACCACCGTCCCCAGACTGACATGGAACGCCAGTGGGGGCCTACATAGACTACTGTCCTTTTAGACAAGGGCTGAGACGTGTTCTACGCTGGTGTGGGAGAGTGGTCGGCCTTTAGGCAAGGATTTCACAGAGATTGCTTGACAATCACCATGACGTTAGACTCCTCGATCGGGTCCATGACTTGGGCCATTCTGTCTGTATTGCTACTAGTACGGCTCATACTCCTCCTCTTGCTTCCTTACTCCCTACAACCATCTGGTCCAAGACGAACAGGTGCCACTGCCGATGCCTTTAGAGAAAAAGGAGTCAGGATTCGTAGATATGTTGAAAGCTTGGCCACGGAGTGCGCCCCCCAACACCCTAGAGGATCCGGAAAATCAGGCTCACCCAACATGATCCCATTACTACATTAGGAAACATGGGGAATCCTAAACCTTAAAACCTTAAGCCCTTAACCCAGGGGAATCCTTTAGGGTGTCTGGGCAGGCAGCGGCTGCGTCAGGTGTGGGCGAGGGTAAACTCGCGAGTTGGCGGGAGTCAGCAGGGTCAAAGGGGCCGTTTAGGTATCTAGTACATACTTGGGGGTTTCCCAAAATTAGCGGTACCTTTTTGGGGGTCCGCAAAAAAAGGATTGTAGCATTTTGAGGTCTATACTGGGGTCTTCTTATTTTGGGAAAATACTACTTCTCGGCCTAAAGTAAATACATGGGAAGCTCTCTGTTCCCTCGGGGTTTTGGGTTTAGGGGCAGTATATACTATATACCTACATAGAACATGTGGGATATCTAGGGGTAACCACGAAGATGCACACAACGAGCTCTTCAAATTGGAGCCATGCCCGCTGGTAGAGATGGCTATCCTAAACAGTGGACCCTAAACCCCAAACCCCAAACCGCTTGGCTCCTGGCTCTAAAGAACTGCAAGCCCAGCCCACCCAGACAACCTCGTGGAACCCCAGACAAAATCCTAGAAAGACTCCTGACTGCCAACTGCGGAAGAAGATCATAGTAGGTTCCATGTTAGCTTGGGAAATGTACAGTGACTGACATATGGTATGTGCCCCTTACAGGCAACCATAGCTCCGTTAATTGAGGAAGCTTTCGAAAAGATACGTGACGAACAGCAACTATGATAGCTGCGGTTCAGGGTCCCGGAAGAGACCACCCTAAGTCTGTGTCCATAAACCCCAGACCTGCTTGCCAATCCTAATCCTAAACTCCATACCCTAAATGTCCTAAACCCCAAGACCGAAACTCGGGGAACGCAAATGAACGTGCTAAACCCTACCTGTACCCTAAACTCTGTAGATCCTAAACTCCCTACCCCAACCCTTCACCCTCCACCCCAAACCCTAAACCCCTAAATCCTAAACCCCTAAACCCCTAAACCCCCCAAAACGCCACAAACTTCGCCCAATCGACTCGGAGCCGGCTCTGAAACTCAGGATCTCTTCGGGCCCCCTGGCGGGCGCAACATTCAACCAAGCTTGCTGGAAGGGATAGGTAATTATATGAGGGTTTAGGGTTTAGGGATATGTAATTATATGAGGGTCCCTGGCCCTATATATTCCTAATATACCACTATTAGTGGGTGGGGCCTAACCCAATATATATGGGTATAATATGGGGGGTTCTATTAGGGTTATATACGGGGTATACTGGGAAAATCCAAAACAAATGGAAACTACAATAGTATTTTAGGGTATATATGATCTATAGTCTAAACTCCTGAAAGGGGGTTACATAGGGGATTATTTTGGGGAGTATTCTATGGACTATTAAGGGGGATACTAGGAGTTTAGACCACAGCTCATATGGGATTTAGCGTTTAGGGCCCTGGCATGTCGATTTTGGGGATGATAGGTTTATAGGGTTTATGCAAGAAGGAGGTAGCTTTTCGGGGTCTTACGGTTGGGTTTAAGTAGGAATTCTGTCAGGTTGAGAGATGTCGGGTTAAGGGTTTAGGTGAACATGGTTGGGCTTATGAAAATTTCTTCAATAGTCCATCTAGAAGACCAAATGGACAAGAACATGGAAAATGAAATGCATACTAATTAGGATGACATAGAGACTCAGGTAAGTATGTTACAAAACACTAGGCGTAGTCAATAGTACTTGAAGCAGACTGTAGGATATTGCCCTAAACCTTCAACAGCGTCCTGCCCTCTGCCCTAAACCCTGAGTGCATCGATTTTGGGCTTTGGAATGGATCAGACGGGGGCTCAAGAGTGTAGGGGTTTGGGCTTTCGGCTCTTTTTGGGGCTCCACGTTGGCTTAGAGAAGGATAAGCAGCCCTCATCCCTACAACACTATGCAGAATAGGAGTTGGAGTTTCAGACTGCACCAAGCAAGAGGCGGAAGCGTTTTTTTCCTAGCCGCAGCTGTAAAGGATTTTCCTAGCCGCGGTGTAGGAAGTCCTTATTCGACGCCACTATAACGTCCTATAATATACATTCATACGCTATAATCTATAATACTATATAATCATATACCGAAAATTATAATGTACTAAGGCATCCCTACGTCCATGGCCGGGCAAAAGCAACACGTCCGGGGGCCAAGGCCTTCATTTTTTCAAACCACGGCTGTGAGGATAGAATAGAGACTCCTCAAGCTCATCATCGAAATCCAAGCGTTTCGTAGGAGTTTCGTTAACATCTCCTATATTACAAGCTCATATTTAAAGAGCCGGGGGTTGGGGCAATGACAAATGATGATACACTGACAGAGAATGATGAAAAATCATGGTGAACAATGATCAAACTATGAAAATAATGAATAATGATTGAAGTTATGAAGATAAAGCTGATGATACAGGATGAGAAGTGGTGAACGCGGTCATAACTCATGAATATGATGACATGATGAAGATTGATTCTGAATGATGGAAATTGATGGCAACGATGAAAACAAATGAAAAATGATAAGAATGAGGGACAATGAAAAACAGGGAACATGATCAGAATTGATCAAAAGCCAGGAAAATGATGACAGCAACACGGGACATGATGAGTGGATCGACCGACCGACCTTCGAGCTCAAAATCTTGTATGCTACGCGCTCATATTTAAAGAGCGGGTGGGGCGGGGGTGGGGGTTGGCGGGGGCGCAGCCTCCCCTTTTGCAAACCATTGGAGAATGTCACGGTTGTTGAAAACTGATGAACAAGCAGGAAAATGATGAAAACACGAGACGTGATGAGTCGACCGACCGACCGACCGACCGACCGACCGACCGACCAAAAAGGATGAGAATGATGGAAGCATGCTGAATGATCATACCAAATTCTGAATATCGATGAATCATGATAGAAAATCTTGAAAATGATGAAAAAAGAGATGAGACATGATGGACTGACCGACCGACTCCTTCTAAACAAAAGAAGGCGCGGCTGACCAAAGCCTTTCAGCCACATCTACAGGAAAAAAACCACGGGGCCCCAAGTAAGGCTATGTTCTTCTGGGTGAAGTGCCATAGTCTTACTCATCTCTATGGGGACCTTAAAAACACCATCACCTCTATATAACCCTATAATTCCTATAGTTTCCATTTTCTTTTCCATTATCCCTATATAACCCCTACATAATCCCTATATCCAACTCCGTACAACCTCAGATCACAGGGACCTCCAGCAGCTCGTCAAAGGTGACCTGACCGCTGCCGTCGGCGTCAATGCGCTGGAAAATCCGCTCTAAGAATTTCTGGTCTGCAGCCTAGGTGCCCAAAATACAACGCTAAAGCCCGACTTTTGGGGTCTTAGGTTTAGGGTTTCAGGCTTAGGTTGGTGCTCAGGCTTTTTGATAGGGGCTGGGCTCTGAATAATGAAGAGAAATTGATGAGAACAGAATACTCTAGGTGGACCCCCCACCTTGTAGTAGTGGTATAATAGGAATATAAGAGGACCCTACTGTAATCCTTAGCCTCCCTTGTAGTCTCTATTACCCCTAAACCCTATATGAGCTATAGTCGAAACTCCTAGTATCCCCTTAATAACACCTATAGTAGTCCCCTATATGATCCCCCATATAACCCACTTTAAGGAGTTTAGACACTGGCTCATATGATCCCCAGTATCCCTCACAGTCACTATTACTGGGCTGCGGGGTCCACCCGATCACTGAGGACTGGGCTTCGAATCACTTGACTTACAGCCGCCGAGGGGGGGGCGGGTGGGATAGAGGGTTTAGGGCTTAGGGTTTTGGGATTGTAGGTTTTAGGGGGCATATTGCGTAAAAATGATGACCCCTAAGCCCTAAATGATACGGGAGGAAATATAAATTCAATATCTTAGCTGCACTCTGGCATCTGAGAATTTCACTTTGAATTTAGGTGGACCCCCCACCCAGTAATAGTGACTATAAGGAATAATAAGGATTATATTAGGGTCCTTTTACATTCCTCTTATACCACTATTACAGGGTGGGGGGTCCTCCTAACTTTGAAATATTGGAGCAACAGTGTTCTCCAGCTTTACATGTATGGGACACGGCGGATACTATCTACTTAGGGGTGACTGTAACCCTGAGCCCCAACCTCCCAATCCTTCCATTATCGGAAGGTGCCCTTCCATGAGCTCTTCCGGAATATAAAGGGTTAGAAGGGTAAGATTTGTAATTTGCGGCCCCCCGGCCCTGACTTGGACACGCCAGACAGTAGGACCCAATGGTTCGAGACATGCTCCACCTAATTAGTTTGATGCCTTTTGGCAATTGAGTGCAAACAATTTTACCCAAAGCCCTATATCCTAGATCCTAAACCTTAAATCCTAAATCCTAAGCCCCAATGTAGACCCATGCTTAATATAAGTATTAGGATCCCTATTATAATCCCAATTAAGGGGAGGGGGTTTATTAATCACGGGTTTGGGTTAAACCCAAAGCCTAGTCGCAAGGTTGAATTCCATCTCTTCAGCCAAGTTCAAAACATCCCGCTGTCGAGCTTCTGCGAAAGTGTCGACAACGACAGCCACCTCAGCTATAGGGTTCTACGGTTTAGGGGCTTAGGAATCAGGGTCTGAGGTTTTATGTTTAGGGCAAGTAATTTACCCTAGTATGGCTATGCTACGCACTGCCACATCAGCATTCGACCAGGGCTTGGGGAGCTCAGGGTATTGGGTATCTAGCTGTTACCTCCTGTGCAGCACCTGGCTCACCGCGGAAAAACCGAAGAAACTGGGCAGCCCGCAATCAAGTTGAGAACGCCGAAGATGAGCGTGAGCAGGGAGCCCATGAAGATAATAGCAGAGAATGGATGCGCATAAATAACTGGAACAGCAATGTCGCCCCAACTATCGCCAGCGATCACCGTCTTGAAAAGCAGGAGATTTGCATGCATTACGGAGCTTGTTGCTTTGACACATCCCTCGCAGTCCCCTAGATCAAGGTCTTGCATGAGAGGGTTGATAATTTCAACTATAAGGAGAGCCCAGACGGTCATGACCATGAAGCAGAAGACGAATGACCAAAACAGCGCCTTGATGCATGTCGCCATCATACCTTGGTCTGTTTAGGGAACGAAGGCTTTATTGAGTTTGGGAATTCTGCAGCTTATGCTTTTCCCTCCTGTGTGGCGTGGGGGTTGGGAGAACTTCGGAGAAGCTCCATGTATGCAAGGAAAGGCCCCCGCACTCTAGTCAGACGGCCTGCATCGCGACGTATCAAATCATCTCTCAGAGCCGTTGGTTTCGGAAAGCGGGCTCTAGCCGTTCCAGGCGGACTCTGCTTCTGTACTAGTTATCAGCAGAAATGGCCACTGCCCTACCCCGGCCGGGCGAATCCTGCTGAAGAACACGTACTATGGCATCACAGGCACGCACCAGCTTCTGCAGCTCTCGGAAACCTCGAGTCCGTCGCAGCAGCCGCGTTAGGCGCAGGATTCGAACAAGGCGGAGGGCCCGGAACAAACTAATTGTCTGCAGTGGCAGGTCCTCGTAAAGGTATTGGAGGAGCATCTCTACATATCCACAGGCAATCACGAACAAGTCCACCAGGACCATCCAATCCGTCAAGGACGTCCGCCCTTTCGCCATGAGAAAAAATGTCATCTCAACCTAGGTTCCAAAATCGCGGCCCAAAGCGATGACAAACAACTCTGCTACCCCGAGCTCTAGTCCATAAACCGCAGCAACCAGAGCAGCACATACCAACAAGGGGTTTGCAAAATGCTGTAAAGCAGTACAGACCGTCTTTTACATCCCAGCTGCAGTGTAAAGCACAAGACAAATGTCCGCCGTGAGCTGGGCCCAACGTGGTGTTTCCTGGCCGGCTGCTCTAGCCTCGGTAAAGTTTAGGTCCTAAGGCAGGTGAGAATGGACGCCGTGCGACAGTAACACCTCCATGATGCTCATGATGGTGGTGAGGATGACTGTGGCGATGATCATGCTGGTGATGCTGCTACAAATGCTGATGACAATCAAGATGATCACAGGCACGGTAGTGGTGGCGGCGGAAGAGCAGGAGGAGGAGGAGGAGGAGGAGGAGGACAAGTAGGAGGTGGTGGCGGCGGCGGTGGCGGTGGCGGCGGCCGTGGCGGCGTGGCGGTGGTGGTGGGAGCTGTGGCGGTGGCGGTGGCGGTGGGGGTTGGGGGTGGTGGCAAGGGCAGCGGCAGTGCGGGTTTGGAGTGGCGGTGGCAGTAACGGTTGGCGTTGGCAGGGCGGCGTTGTTGCTGCCGACCGCTAGCGCTGCCGCGTCCGGTGCCGCGTCCGCTGCCGCATCCGCTGCCGCTGCCGTTGCTAGCAGCCAGCATTGTCATCACGGTCAAGGTGCTGGTGTTGGCGGCGCAGGCAGCAGTGATGCTTGCTGTAGTGAGGCGGTAGGTAGTGAGCACAAGTGACCAGGAATGTCATGGCGGCACTAGACAGAGAACCGGCACAAGCGAAACATGACAGCAACATGAACCATGCTCAAATACGATAAGCTAATGCTAGAGCACCTTCACACACAGGGTATAGTGGGCGCCAGACTGAAACTCACCTCCAGCACAATCAATGATGAAAAGCTGTTGCGTAACAAGATGTCTAAAACTTTGATGCCGGTTTTCATGTCAAATCAGACCGAGGGTACGGGATGAAGCCGTATTCAGCAAGTTCAACTACGGGCTCGCGGCGGGGATCCTACGTCGGACCGTCTACCCTACCAATCCTTGCATAGTGTGCACCATGGCCATCATACGTAATAAAGATAGCCCACGATGAGGCTACTGTGTTTCGAGGGGTTCACTCCCAGAGTTTGTGGTTAATGCCAATGGCCCAGCGGCATCGACGTCAACGCAAGTGCAAACTGCATCCGTCAACACGATCACCGCGAATAAGTTCGCCGTGAACTTGCCTGGACAATGCAGGCCTTTAGGGTTACATGTGGTGGTTAGGGGGTGTGTTCGAATTTGAGGGTTCAGAGTTCAGGCTCGCGAGCGGGACGCTGATTGATTCCTTCAGTAGCTTCCATTTTATTTTCCACTATCCCAATATTACCCCAATATACTATAATAGTTTCCATTTTGTTTTCCGTTATCCCAACATAACCCTAAACCCCCAAAAAATAGCTCGGAAGGAGCTTCAAGCTTTGAACCTCGTGATAAAGAATATCATTGAGCTCACCAAAACAGTGCTTGGGGCTTGGAGGATTATAGCACCCCCAAAATAGATAGAATATGGGGTATCTGGGGATCTTATTCATAATATACTCAAAGCCATATTCTATCTACTTGAGGGGGACTATATATACAAGGGTTTGAAGCTTGTAAAGCAACCTACCGGAATACGTTAGCTCAAGGCTTTCGCGAAGCTTGGACTGGAAAATAAGCCTGCCCCCCCACAATAGCCCGAAACCCTAAACCCTAAAACCTAAACCAGGGTAGGTTCGGGGGCCCGGTGGAAATCAAATCTCTATATCTTGTGCCTGGGGCCTCCCTGAGTTGATGCGTGGAATTTTGGGCTTCTTTTTTATCGCCAAGATTTGCGTTGCTAACACCAAGATGTTCGGAGGGCTTGTCCTTAGTAGTGGCAAGGATTTTGGAACAAGAAACCATA